AATTGCAAATAAACATGCACATGCAAATTTATGCTCAATTATTATTCAAATTTGTTTGCAAATAAATACACCGAAAAAATGTCCAAAAAGTCAAATAAGAAGATCAAAGTCTTACCAAACGAAGAGTCAGAGGAATGTGTGAATTCATATAAAGAGAAAGCCATAAGTAATTCACAAGTTTTGGTTTTGGATGAGTTTCCCAAAAGAATATTAGAAATTCAACAAATATTAACTGATGAGAGATTTAGTCTCAATACTTTCTTTTCCTGCGAATCAGACATCAATATTCCTATACCTGAGAAACCATCGAAAGAGCGGGCAATGAGTTTGAGTATTGAATATTCGGATACTTTCCTCTTTGAAAACGGTTTCGTTGAATCAAATGTACATTTGATTGAATTAATCGAAACTCTAAAACCAAAGGCTCTGCAACTGATCGGTGACTCGAATTCAGTGAAAATGGGAATTTCACTAATGATACCGAAGATTGAAGACGGAAACAACTTTGGCGTTGAAATACAACAGGAAATGCTGATCGGTGTCGCTGTTGTCGAACTCAAGACTCGCCTACAGTTGGATCAGATCTCTGAGTACTTCAGAAGAAGGGCAGAAATGGTGACAAAGATTGCGAAATACCCGCACTCTATGGACTATCGACAAGCGCTTCAAGAAATGGATTACAAGTTTCGACTTTTTCTCCGATTGTTTGCATTTGATTTACGGAATCAATACATAGGTCTTCACGATATGTTCACCAAAAATCTCAACAAAATTAAAGAACCGCGAAATTCAGACAATCATCAACTCATGTATTGAATTCTCTTTATTTTCACAACATTTCACAAATTCTGTCCAATTTATTAGAATTGTTAATTATTTTTAAATTCAATTTATTACTCAAATAAAATTGCAATTTTATGATACAATTTCATTAAAATATTTTATTAATCATAGACTATACTCTATAGTCGATAAAAGTTTATTATATGTTTTGCAATAAGAATGTAAAAATTGCTAATTCTTATGATATAATAACTTTTTTGTAATGTGTTCAAAAACATAGGGTTGAAATTGATATTATTTACGGCTCACAAGATTAAAATAAGTGATATTTGTAGAAACAAATTTGACAAAAAAGTAATAATTTGTTGTGAATTCATATTTACATTTAAATGTATTTTTGATTTTGAAAATTGTGAAGTAAGAAGCGGTGAACTGTCAGACACTCGAGAGATTTAATACGATTAGCGATTAGTGACAAATAAAACGGAAATGCAAACAATTTGATACAAACACTAAATATGAAGTGTCCTTATATTTAGTTTTTGTTCACTAGATATTTGAGTCTTGTATTATATGCCTATACTGTAGTTGACTTGAGAGCCCTTCACTCGCAACCCCTCAATAAGGCATTTGAGTTTATTTTCAGACCAATATTTGTTGTTAAGGCTAAGGGAGTCCTGACTTAAGCAAGTCTACAATTGTTATGCAAATAATGTAAAAATCTCCGATTGACTGTATTTTATTTACAATTATGTTAGTTGTTGCTAATGTTAAGACACAAACATTTGAAACAGTCATACAATTAAATGTGTATCTCATTATTGGTGGCAAACATGGGTGGCCTTCAGTGGAAGAGCAAAAAATTCATTTTAAGATTTGATATTTATTTCATTGAGAATAGCATTGATAGACTGCTAACTGAGTGATGAATAGGGTTTAGGTGAGGGGTCGGCACATCCGACACTATACTCTATTCCTATTGATTACTGGCGTGTAATTCTCTTATTGCAAATTCTGTACACTATATCAAACACTACTGCGAGACTGCATTCAAATACTATGGTTTGGATACACATCTCTATTAAGTGCAAACTATACACAGAGAGAGATACGAATGCAAACTAAACTCAATATCGAAAATCCGTTAATAAATGTCTTACTTTTGTTTTAACCATTAATTTAATTATAAGAGTTTGACATGAGATTCACATATACTGTAATGCTATTGTCGTAGCAGTTGTTTATGAACTTCAATCCATTAGATGGACTGATGCAGGGAATGGTAGTAATGGTAGTGAACGGCACTGTAAGGCATTGTATGGATGGTATGGGGAGAGAGCGCCACCCGCTAATCGTTAATCTCTTTTTATCGTAAAGCAGTTTATATTAGGGAATGATTGGTCGAAAAGCCCTAAATTTAAAGCAATATTGTGACCAAACTTTCGCATAATAGTCAGTCTAATAGAAAAATATATCAATAAATAGCAGTTTCAGAGCTTATAGTTTAATATTTGATTTGTGAGAATATCGTCATTCAATGTATAGCAAGTGTCGACCAAATCTAATAAAGACTGGTCCGCACGTGTATCCCATCCCTAATTCTTAATCAATCGTCTGATTCATGTTTTCGGTTGACTTTTAATATACCGACTCTTTTGTCGCATAAATTTATTTAAATAAACACTCATTTCATTCCCAATGAGAGAGAGAGAGAGAGAGAGAGAGANTTCCCAATGAGAGAGAGAGAGAGAGAGAGAGAGAGAGAGAGAGAGAGAGAGAGAGAGAGAGAGAGAGAGAGAGCACTGATTCACAAGTTATTACACCGAAAAAGCTGTCAATCGATTCCCGGTTTAAGCCATTTGTGGCAATGAATTACATTTTATGCGTCGTCTCATTCAATATCATATAAAGTTATGTTATTATAATAAATAGCAAATATTTTATTATTAAATTACGATTATATTATATTTTATTAAATTATGGTCTTCTATAACGTTGAGCACAATATACTGTATATAAAGCCGAATATATTAGAAAATAAATTGAATCGTTTGGTTAACCGATACGACTATACAGTGATGTGAGTGAAAGCATATCAAGTCTTGAGACGGTGTGTATAGTTAGTGGACTCCTCTGTGTTTGTGTATCTCATATAATATAAAGTTTTAGACAAGAAGTTTTAGAAAACACTTTATTCAGTCACATAAACAAATGGCTTAACTTTTTGTTGTATTTAACATATTTGTGACATCCTTTTGGAGGATAATAAAAGGTTCTCTTTTAGAAGTCTTTACGTTCTCTCTTCTCATTATAGATCAGGTTTAGTGATAAGTCAAGTGAGGGATACGACCACCAGTTAATGCCAGCGCCCGAAGCAGTTGTACCCATGACTTGAAATACCAATAAATGACAAAATATAGTTTGCATTTAGATTATACACGTATTCCGACAAATAAATAAACCGAGAATTTCGGCCAAAAATAAAATAAATATTCCTTAAGTTCCTAAACGAACAGTCGTTTGACATCCAATTCAAAGAAAAGCATTCAATTTGTTTCTGTTATAATTTAAAGAGTTATAAATTTAATGATAATTAAAAAGATTTCATTTCTTTGTTACATAAAATTAAATTGAATTTTTTATATCTAATTCAAAGAAACGATTAGAGAGTTATATTTATTCTTAGATTTAATCCCAAAAAGTTCAACACTAAGGAACTGTAGAAACAAGTGCTCAACCATTAGATTGTGTCCAATGATAATCATTACAAGAATCAAACGGAGGCTCACGAGTGACACATAAATAGTGAATGAAATGACAATTGAGTGCATATTTTCGTATATCAGATCCACAATCAAGTGATACAACACTTCTGTAATCTCTCTTTTTAAAGACAAACCTTGTTTCAGTGTTTTAGTGTTTAAGTCTTTACTTATCACACTTTGAATCTTATATTAAATTTTTGTCAAACGCTATACAATAGAGAATGACTGAAAAGACTAACTTTAGTAAAAGTATAATCTATTTTATCTATGGTTCACATGACTCGAGTCGATGTGTAACCAAATTAGTTGAAACCTTTTGAAGACAATATGCCTTCGAGTGTATGTGGTCTGCGGACTGTGCGATAACCCGGAGCTATACCTCAATTGTATGCATACGTATAGTCACTATAGTGTATATACTTATGAATATTTGAAAAGAAGCAAAAATAGAGGGATAGTTGAGGCGACTTAAGTCTGACATTCTTTGAACAAACGTTTGTTATATTTAAGGGCAAAAATATTGGAAAAGTATTGGATTCGGTGACAGACATACTGTTCACTACTATTCAGTAAATTCAAAGACTGGACTTTTGGACAATAAATTGCTATTGAGTTATGTTTGAAGGCCTTAATTGAAATTCTCATAGCTTTCTAAAAAAGAAGAATTGTTTATCCAAAACAGGTATAACTCAGGGAATAAATAATGAGACAAATGTTTTGATGCCTGAGATTCCAGAGAAAGCAAATTCTTCTCTCTCTCTCTCTCTCTCTCTCTCTCTCTCTCTCTCTCTCTCTCTCCAATCATTGGTAGAGATGACCGACCAGTATTCGGGGCCCTCAGAAATGTTTGTCTAATAAATCGATGCTTCAATGATTTGATATATTGTCTCAACTTTTAAATATTTTTCTATTATTTTTACGGACTCTAAGCTATCAAATGTTCACAAAACCACAAAACGATGAAATACTTGTAACAAGCAATGCATTTATTAAAGTCGTTTAAATGTGTTTTTAGAAAATATTTTTAAATCTTTAGACTTTTTTAAAAGTTTGATGTTTTTATTGCGTTTTCATTAATAAAGTAGACGTTTGTGAAAATAGTGGTCACAAACTCAGACAGATATATATTTTTTATTGCAATAATTGCAATAAATATAGGATTAGTTTCCATACTATCCATAAAATACAGACATTTGGATTTATTCACAACAAACCCAAACTTTCAGAAAAGTACTATTAATATAAATTATTATAAAACTTCATTTTAATTATTAATTTTTCGTAGAATTCATCCCATATTAAGAAATAAAGAATATTATTTCTTTATTCACACTTTAATACAATATTGAATTTAATGTTAAAATAAGTACTAAATATAGACTATTTATTACGATTATAAAAGTTAGTTTAGTTTTTATACTCATGTCCGCAAAACTGTGTTTTAAAAACTTGATATACTGGATGATGAACAAGGTAATAAATTACATATTCAATAAATAGTTTAGCTTACTTACTCGTTAGTATTTATATAATCAACATTATTAGCACTTGTTCTAAGGGAATCATTATCATGCAGAATACATTATATTGATCTTGAAAATGTAGATTCAGTATTTTTATGCATAGACCACATAATTAAATTAGAAAAACATAATTCATTGTGTAATTTATATTTATATGTATAATACATTGTATACCGACATTGTATAACATTTTGCATAGAATAATGTGGTTTATAGGATCGTTCGGCCCCCTCCCCTTTTTCCTATGGGAATTAACAAGAGATCCCAGCTTAAGTCTATGGCTATACTTTAACATGGGGATAATGTTGTTCTATGGGTATTGTTAATACTATGGGGACAATTTTCAATAGGTTTCTATGGGATTAAAGCTTAAGTCTAAGAAATATGTTTAACATGGGCAATGCTAAGTCTATGGACAATGATAGCTCTATGGGACTAATGCTAAGTCTATGGGTAATGCTAAGTCTATGCGTAATGTTAAGTCTATGGGACTAATGATATTCATGTGGACTGATGTTAAATCAATGGACTAATGCTAATCCTACGGACAATATTAAAAAGTCTATGGGACTGATGCTAACCTATTCTTTGAGCATCACCCGAATTGTGGTTAAGCTATACCAGTGCATATGATCATTGTCTGTATATGCAATTGTAAATTATTAGTTTACTAAAATTTAGATTATTAATATATAAAATACAGTATATTTAGTACAAAACTATATTAAATGCAAATAAATCATTA